TATTTGATAAGGCGTCTTCCACACTCATCGGCGTCAGCAGGCTAGCAAAACAGAAACACATACCGATGCAGCTCGACGGAAACAAGGCTACCGCAATAAGTCCCAAATTCTTTACGCTTCGCGTATCCCCACCAGCCCATCTCACAACAGCAATTCATGCGAAGCATGCCGACAGTCGTGTTTTTCAGGCGTGTGTCCGTTTGGCCCCGCATATCTCCCTTGTCCCTCCTTCCTCCCGCCTCCTTGTACATCCTCCTTGTGGGGGGAGCGGGAGAAGGACGAGGCGGAGGAGGAGGGAGAGAAAGCGCTCCTCGTGATTTGAGTCGTTTGGGGTTTCTCGTCCTGGTGTGAGTCGTTCGGGCCCTTCTTCCTGGTGTGAGTCGTTCGGGCTCTTCGTGGTGTGAGTCGTTCGGGCTCTTCGTCCTGGTGTGAGTCGTTCGGGCTTCTCGTGGTGTGAGTTGTTCGGGCCCCTCATCCTGGTGTGAGTCGTTCGGGCCCCTCCTCCTGGTGTGACTCGTTCGGGCTCCTCGTGGTGTGAGTCGTTCGGGGCCCGCGTCGTGGTGTGAGTCGTTCGGGCTCCTCGTGGTGTGAGTCGTTCGGGCGCCTCGTCCTGGTGTGAGTCGTTCGGGCCCCTCCTTGTGGTGTGAGTCGTTCGGGCTCTTCGTGGTGTGAGTCGTTCGGGCCCCTCGTCCTGGTGTGAGTCGTTCGGGCTCCTCGTGGGGCCTCTTGGGGGCCTCTTGGAGCCTCTTGGGGCGTCTTGGGGGCCTCTTGGGGGCCTCTTGGGGGCCTCCTGGGGCCTCTGGGGGCCTCTTGGGGGCCTCTTGGGGGCCTCTTGGGGGCCTCTTGGGGCCTCTTGGGGGCCGCCTGGGGGCTTCTTGGAGGCCTCTAGGGAGGCTCCTGGGGGCCTCTTGGGGCCATCTTGGGGCCTCTTGCGACCTCCTCAGAAGCGCAAAGAAGCGCTGCCCCCTGAGAAGGACAAAATGAGCCCAAAACTTTTTGTAAAATCAATGATTCTGCTATGAAGGAAGATGAGCGCGGCCCCCTCGGGAGGCCAAAATGGGGCCAAAACCATCGTAAAAGCAAGGCTTTTGGCTTCACAGAAGAGGAGAGGGTTTTTTAGCGTCCCCCCGTCGGGGCCAGAATCCTCGTGAGGGTCGTCGTTTTTTGGCCCTCCCAGGAGTCGAAAAAGACCCCCCTGGCGACCCGCAGGACTCCCTCTCCAGGCCCAGGGGGAGGGGGTAGGGGGAGGGGTAAACCCCTCCCCGAAGGGGAAGAAGGGGGGTTGGGGGGTGAGAACAGAGAGAGCTCCCTAAACCACTCACGCCCAAAGGGCTGGTGGGATTCGCCGGTGGCTGAGAGGCACAAGAAAAAAGGTTTTGCATCGAGTGTGGCGTCGCATTGTGAATCCAGACGATGTTCCGAATAATTGAAAACGACAGAGTTACCACGAGTGCTGTTCGTAATCCCCTCGAAGAGCCTCCAGCAGACGTGTCGGGTCAGATCCCGAGGGACATTTCGACAGAAAGGTAGGCTAAAACATCTAGCAGCGAATGGTGTGTAGCCGTGCCGGATGCCATGCATTTTCGGGTGCCCACCAGGAAGTTGCCGAAATTATTCAAATTCGATAAATTTGCAAACGGGCCTCCGTTGCGAACTTCTTGGCTGAAGTACGCGGATGCGCCGTGGCAGCTTTTGGAAGACTGGGTGGACTGGACATGCGTGAGAAATCTTGAGCACGTCTTGCATGCCCCGGGACGTTTGCTTACCGCGTTTGTGAAATGTACGGTTGCGAGCAGAAACCTAACGCCTTCGTCGTCGTCGTCGTCGTCGTCGTCGGGTTAGGCACAACCGCCCAAGTGGGTTCAAAGTTGCGCCGCTGGAAGCTACAAAACGGATGATAAAGTGCACGTCGCGTCTGAAAACCCCATGAAACCACAAATTCCGAAAAAAAACAGAGATCGATGTTTGATCAGATCGACGTGGGTCCTGGTGCAAGGTGAGTCGGTACGGAGATTGGTGGACCAGCGCGTGGCCTGGCCAATCTTGGGCGATCTGGAACAGAGTCTGCAAACACAAACATGGATAAACGGCCATATTGAGAAGATGGTCACGGAGTTTTTTGCTAAGCCAAACGCTCCACATAGTGAAAGTGGTTTCGAGGATGACGGCCAGAAACCGAATGCCCCGCGCACGATGGGCATTCGGAGTAAGCAGAACGCTAGGAACACACTTCAACCCGCATGTCTTTTCGCAGTTGGCGTTGGTTTTGCGTGCGCGGTCGCGCGGAAGGTTCCCCGCGTCCGAAAAAAAAAGAGTTCTGTCGCCGCCGTGGGTGTTGTTCCTTTTGCGCAGATGGATCACTTCTTCGTGAAAACGGAACCAGATGCAGACGTGATCACATGTGTGTCAGTCATAGATGTAAAACAAGGAAATGGCTTTTTTTTTTGCCCGCAATGCTCCAGCTGCCGAGGGTGAACGCCAGGCGTCCAGCAGAGGCGGG